ACCACGGTTACGAGCTCATAGCTATACCACGGTTACGAGCTCATAGCTATACCACGGTTACGAGCTCATAGCTATACCACGGTTACGTGCTCATAGCTATACCTGTCTCTTATACACATCTAGATGTGTATAAGAGACAGGTATTGGCTTCAGAATACGCTATAGACCTGATCAAAGGATTTGATCGCCCTACGACAGCATAGCTAACGGGCTCGTCAGCGGCTGAGCGAAACGGGCTAAGGCTATTTTGTGCAGTGCTTATGCAAGTAAAATGAACCTTATTAAGTAATCACTGGCGGAGCAAGAAAGTAATCTCACTGAGTCACCGGAGCACTGAGTCACGCCCAGCGTGAGTCAGCCTGGCTGACGCCCGGCGACTCTCGCTTACAAGCGCAAAACCAAACACTGCACTCGCGAACTGGTAAACAGTTATTAGAACTGGTCACTTATTTAACACATAGCATTTTTTAAGGCTAAAGCCTTACAATTATCAAATGATAATTGCAGGGAAATGTGTCCTAAAACTCACTTGTTCGTACGACTGTATATTGATGCAAAGCAGTCACTAGAGGAGCTGCGTAGCAGCACGTACTGCGTCGTAGCGAAGATTGAAGGCATGCAGACTGCGCCTGCTGGCTGTGGCACCACTCAAGGTCAACGGTAGAAAAGCTGCCAAAGGCCGCTTTCTTCCTTTTTCTTTATCGCTACGATTAAATTCGAGGAAGAAACAATCCAAAGATCAAATAGAGCTTTTGAAATGTTAAAAGCAAACAGCCTAAAACGGAGTTTGCTCTAATTTAACAAATTATTAACGTAGAGCATAGCATCATTGTTGCACTACAGACTATGGCACTAAGACTAAGGTAATGTTGGGTAATATGTTGATGAAGGTAAGGAATAACAAATTAATAATGTAAAGCATAGCATTATTGTTGCACTACAGACGACGACGGGGAGTGCGCTCGTCAGGCCGTCTACTGGCTGACGAAGGCGTCGCTGCAGGGCCACGTGAAGGCCACAGAACTCCTGCAGCAGTGCCTGGATACTGCAGTGGGTGGGTGCTGTCAGGGACACGTCCTTGTGAGGTGCTGTCAGGGTCACGTCCTTNTGAACATAACTACCATGTCGTGTCTATGGTGCAGGTATCAGTGAACATAACTACCATGTCGTGTCTATGGTGCAGGTATCAGTGAACATAACTACCATGTCGTGTCTATGGTGCAGGTATCAGTGAACATAACTACCATGTCATGTCTATGGTGCAGGTATCAGTGAACATAACTACCATGAAGTTCTACACTGTCTCGCCACGCCGCTGCAAGAGAAGCTTGCTCGCAAGGCTGCACACGATCTCTTCCTAAGGTAAGATTTTAGCATTTAAATGGTTTTACAATCGAGAAAAAAGTACTCAATGAAGGTTTATCAATAATTTGAAAACTGGTTATCCGTTTCACAAATATTCGTGTCCAAGAACTGTTCGTTCTATAACTGATAAATATTTTTTTTTGTGGGATGATTCGTGAATTTATAATATTACGAAATAAAAATTAATAGCTTGAAACTTGCTTTAATCTTATGCCTATTTTTTGAAAATATGACTGTTTCCTAACTTTGTTAAATGAAACTTTTTCAGCATGAGAATCTAATTGTTTTTAACTCATTGAACAATTCTCAGCATAAGCAATGGAAACGATTTCGTCACGAGTTCCATGCTTGCCGCGCACATCCGCCATCTTCAGCGACCAACACACGAACTCTCCGAGGTACGCTTGCCTCCCTGCAGCCCTAGGGCCGTGCTATCAAAAATAGTTACGAGTTTGTATAGCCAATCATTGACGTCTTTACTAGCTAAACCAACCAATCACAGGCGATAAATCGGCCACTATGTCTACTGAGGCCGCTAGGTGTACTTGATTGCGTTTGATATTACGGCCCCTGAGTAGTGGTGCCAACAACGGGGCACATGTGGGCCCATCTGCCTGCGGGCCCTAAGGCGAAAAAATTCAAACGCCCGTGCAAATAATCCAGTGCAATTTACTTTATCTCAAGGAGTTCTTCTAAGTTTAAGAATAAGGGCTAAAACTAAAAAGTTGCATAAAACATTTTACTGAGTAGAACGTTCTGTTTTGTTTATCTAGGACTTCTACTCAGTAAAATGTTTTATGCAACTTTTTTAGTTTAAGCCTTTATTCTTAAATTTACTTTATGTTGGAGTCGCGGACATTTCGTCATAAGATACAAGTTAGTTTGTCACTTATTGTGTATTAAGTGACCTATGTTGCTCGGGAAGCCGAAAAAACTACCACCGATATGTTTTGTCTTTTTAGTGTAATGTATTTACAACAGATGAACGAGAGAAATTGATGTAGAACAATTTGAGTTTAATGCATCTTCAAGGTAATTTTTATCAACAGACCAGCAAATGCTTGCACGCATCAAGACTAATAATTTTGTTCAGTGTTAATCACTCGTGCAACTAACATTACGTATATTAGGCAAATTTACTAGCATCGGTGACTGTTACGAGTACGTGTGTTATCTGTGTAATTCACTCCTCACAATTCTGCGGCATGGAAAGAAGAATAAATTAAGAACGCCCTCATGGGAGCTTCGAATCATCTTTACACGGCGCCAGCTTATGAAAGTTCAACCCAAGAGTAAATATGAATTGTAATTTTGTGAATGAATGGTTCACTGTTTGTATGATGCTAATTTTTACAGGTATCGTCGGAAGCAAGCACTCTAGAACACAAATATGGCGGAGAGCGCTTTCTTGAAGAGCATCTTGCCGCTGCAGCAGCTTCCTACTGCCAGGTAAAAATCTATCACTGTCAAGGTCCTGTCATTACTCTGAATAATTTTTCCTGCGAAGTATAGTGATTTTCGTCATGCATAGACAGTCGACCTACCTATAAGTAACTTCGATAGCAATTTATGGTTTAGAGATGATAGTTTACACACTTACTAATGAGATCATCATTGCAGGGACACTTGCCGACTTTGCATCAGTTCCTGCCTTCGTTAAGCCTTTGTCAGGAAAGAAGTAAAGAGCGCGATACCAGACCTGCCTCGTCTCCGAGCGCCCCAGGATCTCGGGACGAAGAGACGAGACCAAGTCTGTGGCAACGTCTCTTTGAATCTCGCCTGCTCGGGTTGCAGTCTTCAGACGAGACTGCCGCCTGTGTCTCTGGTGCCTCAAGAGCCCTGGAGAAACTCGTCCAATTTCTTGGCGTGGAAGTCATGAAGAAGATTCGATGTTGGTCTTACAGCATGACGTATATCAAACTAAGTTTCCTGGTCATATTTATAGCATCATTTTGTTCATCAATACAGAGGGATTCTTTAGCTAGATGCCTTCCACCAGTCATGTTCTTTGCGTCTCTTATGTCAATGATGGTATCGAGCGCAACGATCTTCGCTAATTATAAATTTTTGGACCAATTCAAGGTGTGGTCCTTCCTCTTGAAGCATCATTGCTCAGCGCTGTGCACTGACTCTGCCGAACGAAAGTTTCGTAACAGGTGGCACCTTCCCTTCATCATTTTGTTTATAAGCCTAATTTGTTTTCTAATTTCTGCACCCTTAGTTCCTAATTTACTACTTAGCATATGCTTGCCTGTGTTTGGCTTGATGTGTTTGTTAAGTCTCGAATGTTCATTCAAACGTGTTGATTTTGTCGAACATCTTCCACTTGTGCTCTTCTTGGTTGCTCAGGGCGCTAATTTTAATTACCTTGCTGATGACTTATCTCAGTATTTGCCGGCCAGTGTTGGGGTTTACTTCGATTTATTGAGACACTGGGAGGCAGAATATGTACTGACAGAGACGATCCACTTGAACCTGAGCCTTGCTTCCATGTGCCATATGACCGCCATTCTGTGGTACATAATTTGCTGTGTCAAGAAAGGTTGGTTAGCCTTTTCTACATTAATGCTCAGCGTTATCTGGTCTAATCTTTTCCTTGCATGTTTGAAGTCCGTTTATTCACCCATAAATTTAGCTTATTGTTCTATTATTTGGTCTCTTCTCATCTTCGCACCTCTGATATTTAGTTTCGTTTCAAGTGCTGCTCCCGCTGCAGCGCTCTTCTTCTTGGGACAATATCTCGCTGTCAGGTTCGATTTCTTGCTGGCAGTTATCATCACATTTGTTATTTTACAACAAATTTTAGAAAAATATTTCCCAAGAACATTGAAGATATTGAAGCTTATTATTACATGCAGTGTCGTTATATTCTTTTTCGGAAATACTCATCTTCCTGCAAGTAAAGAAGAAATAGTTCATTTGAACTGGAATGACTACCGCAATATTTGTGTTCCGTCTGGGAATTTGGAAGCTGAGACTTGGATTGCTTGTCAGCCACTGGAAGGCCTGAAGGTTCGCTGGTCCGGAGAAGTGGTCGACGTTAAAGTTACCGATGTCACAAATTGGCCTCAATTTTTCTTAACAATTCTACCCTTGCCGGAACGAGTTCGAAAATTCATAGTTTGTAATATAGGGCAAGAGTTAACTCCATGCAATCGCTCCAACATGAAGTTCTTGGACTACGAACGATGTATTTTGATCGCACAGATTCGAGGCAAGGATCGGTGCTCGGTCGCCAACTGGGACGTTTATAGCTTTTCTCTCACATTGGCCATGGATTCTGCTAACTGGAAGTTGAACAAGGAAGGTATGATGATACAAGTAGATTTCAAAAACTTCTCTCCGAATTCTATTTTGAGCCTTGGCGTTAGCGAGAGGGTAGAGTTTGAAGGCATGTTAACGGAAGGTGTTGGCAGCAAATCTCTCAGAGTGAAAGGCACAAAATTATTACGCACGGCTGATAAATCACACGAACCAGAAATTTCACGCCAACGGCAGCAGCACGAAGTAAGTTATTTTATTGCGGCGATGTCTTCCATCTTCGACTTCTTCTTAAAACCAACTGTGGTTTTGCCACTATTTAACACAGGGCGAGAACATGTGTGAAGAATTTTTCGCATGTAACCAACAACTAAAAATATAGTCATTTTGTTTTGAATTATGTTGATTTATTCGTATGTAATTATCAACACTTAAGTCAAATATATTTAGTCCATTGCAGGTGCGTAGCCTCTGGAACATTGGATTGTCACAGGGTTTTAATTTCATCGGGTTGTTTTGCTGTTGGCAGTGCAGCCATATTGATAATCAATAATTACTTTTTCATTTGCAAACATTACTTTCAATTACAATATTATTTTCTACTACTAATTCAGACTTCATTTGTTTTATCAACCACGAAACTACTTTAGGATATTCTCTTCACACCCAGTCGTCTCAATGGTCTCCCAGCCTTACTTGTCATTTAATATTCCGTTTTATTATTGTCCTTATTTTGTTCTACCTACTCACCTAAATACTGACAGTTAAAGCTGCTGGATCTTCTGTTATTTTGCATTTCTCTCAAACTTCGTGTATGAATGGCCTCAACCTTGATAATTATGTTAGAATGTACACGAAAATCTACCCTTCAATTTTTTTTCAAATGTAAAAAAATAAATTTTAGCCTCAAGGCTACAACCTCTACACTTTAATTTTAATTTCTTCTGAAATATTTAGACAGGACAGTAAAAATTTGGGCTGAAATGCTTTTCATAAGCCAAAAAAATATTTAACTAATATTCAGAAAATGTAGCGTAAACTACGGTGTTTTCCAGTTGACAGTTGAGCATTGACTACAGTACTTTGTATTGCTTTCAGTTATATGTGTTATTTTTTTTAATCCAGGAGCTTAGATGCACATTAGCTTTTACATCGAGCTGTATTGTCGCTGAAGTCAGAATGTAACAGGTTTCGGCCAATTATATCAGACTGCGATATTTTTACAAGCCATCTCCCTTTCAGTTAATTATTTCATATATCAACATCAATAAAACTGAATTCTTGGATGGTGGCTTGGAAAGACATTTTCATACGAAATAATATTCAGCTTTTCAGCAATAGAAAGTTTCTAGAATGAATGGTTTGGAGCCAATTACATAATCAAATAATATATATATATATATATTTTTTTTGTTTGATGCACTTGTATGCGCACCGCAAACAATCAGTAAACTTGTCAGATAAATGGTTACCTTGAAAAATTTAGTCCACATTAGACAGGGTACAGTATCCTTCAAGCTCTAACTGTTGCGCGTTTTGAAATGGATTCTACTGAATTATTTTGCTCCAGAAATCATATAATTATAATTATATAGTCATATAATTTGAGTATATACGATATACAATTTGAGTATGAATCGTAGGTAATTCGGACTTCGCGCCAAAAGGTTCTACTGTCGTGATTGTCGCTCCCCATTCGGGTCGCCTGCGAAGACCACCACTGCCCTGGATGTAATGGACCATCATGATTCCTGCCTTCCGGAACGTAGCCTTCAACACTTCAAGCCGTCCGTATCTAGGCCGTGGGTCGAACGGCCACTTGTCGAAGGACGATAAATTTTGGAACAGAACTACGCTATCTGAAACCTAACCTTCAGATGCTGTGAACGCAAAATAACGTAATTTAACGATGCCCGGAAGTCAGATTCAATCCGCGGCCTGATGGTGCACGGCAGGTTCTATGCGAGGCCGGAGGAATACAAAGCCGAGTGGTTCACGGCTGATTGGTGGATGTCTAGAGAGATCCAAGGCATTCGATTCAGGGCTTATTGGTGCACAGCTGCGCTCCCCATTCCAATACGGTCTACGGCTATCTCCGCAACGGCTGCCGGCGGGGTCAGAAATAACCATGGTTGAATTTAATTATTCACCAATAAGAAATAACGGCCGTGCGTAACTTCGATACATTCATACCAGTACAAATCCGACATGTCAAAAATCTACGAGTAATGGCAAACATGGCTTATTTGCACGGTCAACAATCATTGCTACGGTTGTGACTTTGCCGTAAGACAGAACGAGAGACAAGAAAGAAGGCTTTCAACGAATATAAAGCTGGCAATCGGCACATTCGAGAGCGAGCAGTGAGTGACCCGAGCACCGTGAAAGAATTGACATCGGTGCGGTCATCAGCATGTTACGGTCAAAGTCATCGTCGGTAGCGGTACGGGCACGATCACCAATAACAGAAGCACGGTAATGAGCTTGGAGTAACATTATTGACGATTAAGACTACTCCAATATTCAGAAGTACGGTCGTTATTAAACAATCTACGGCCAGACCGAACGTGAGACATCTATGGAGAAAGAACGACCTCAGGCAGCGGGGATGCGCGGCTACGGCTGCTGAAAATACGGGCGCGTTAGGTACGTGGTCGTTCACGACAGTCATACTACTCTCCGGAATTGCAACGGATCAACGTTTCTGAAAATTAGGGAGATTTTACTGATGCAAAGTGATAGATTTTCAACTTTAATTGTGTTCTGATTACCCTTTTCTTGTACTAGAGATTTGTGTGGCCGTAGGATGTGAACTTGAATTTTCTAATATGATATTAAATGTACCAGTGTTTTATTGTACGATTTTTGCCGTAACTTATTCAAATGAGAATACATATACGCAAATACTTCGAGTAACGCTAAGCTATGGACAGTTCACAGAGTCAAAATGCACCCCTAATAAGACTGACGGAGCAGTCCGTCGCAGCAAGAGCCACAGGGGCAAACGTCATCAGTCATTGCTACCTGTAGCGATGCATAACGTACGTTCAGACCACCTGTTTCAAGAGCATGACCCGACCGGTGCTGAAGTATGCATCGTGCGTGAGTGATCCACACCAACACGATTTGCTTTATACGCAGGAGGCAGTCCAGCGCAAAGCGCATCATTCAGGCATTCAGTTCCCAGTCAAGCTCATTAGCGATGACTAAGACTGATGATTATTGCCACTCTTTTCGCCCGGGACAGAGTGTTGAACTCCTCGACTCAAGATGCCAGAGCCTCCTGCAACCTTGCCTGCTTTCAAGGCTTCAGTGAAGACTTGGTAGCTATTGCACTAAAGGCTTTTATACTATTTTAAAAAATTTTGTATCATTTATGCGTGTTTAGATCTTATGCCCGGTCCAAGAGAATGTGCTGGTCATACGATGAATTACGTGCGGATATATTTTATGATACATCGGAGGTGTGCAAATAACCATGAAGAAGAAATATTTTCTGGTCATTAAACTAGCCGCGGAAATGCCGATAGTCGGGAACCCAAAAAAGATCGCCAGGGTCAGACCTCAAAAAAGTTCGAGTTCAAATTGAAATATTTATTTTAATCAACCAAAATTACAACATCTCACTTTAAAATTTTTCAAAAATTTGGACAAGTACGTCCTTTTCAATCTTTCTTTTTCTTGCGATTTGGATTTAGGGCATGATGAACCAGAAAATAAGACTTTAATGATTCGGGCCTTCATATCGGCCAACTGCCACGCATAGTTGAACTGGTACATGTAGTTCAACCATGGCTGCCACGCGTCACACATTCATTAGTGTAGGTAGGAGGAGAGGGAAGGAGGGTCAAGTAGGAGTAACAGTGGTGCAGAGGCTAGAGAGATGGGAAAGTTCGTGTTAGGGGTGGGATGGGGTGGATGAAAATAGGGAAAAGTAAGGTTAAAGAGGGAAGTTATCTAGCCTATTATTGCTGTCCTATTTATTGAACTGTAGTCTTCGAATTCTTAATTGGCTATTGTGATCTCTCAGGCCATAACTATATTTCTGTATTCTTATTATTATTTTAATATTGCTCATTTCTTTACACTCTTTCGACCTCTATTCTCGCAACCTCATTCTCCATCATTCTCCATGCACTCTTCAAAATATCTCTTTCCACTCTCAGTCACGGCAGCAGTCACCCCTTCTGACAGACCCCACTATCATCGCAATCGAATCGACTCCCGTTCTCTCATTCATCGCACTATCACCCTCACCCCTCTCATCCAGTATCACTCACATCATTTCCAATCTTTCCCTCTCGTATGAATAATACTCCATTAGCAGATGCTTCACAGCTTTCCTGCCCCCTCTGCCACACATAAATTAAATACCCACTCCTCTTTCATTCTACCTGAATATCCGCGCATTCACAGTCAGAGCATTTGCTCTCGCGCAGAACATAGGTGCTGCCTCCAGTGCCATCATATGTGCACTCATACTTTGGCACCTCTATCATCTTGGCAAAGATGAAAGGCTGCCCATTCTTTCCATTCCTTTGCTTCAATACTCTTAAACCAAATAATTTAATTCCCTTTGTTATTTCTTCCTTCCACTGTTACACCCTGTACTGTCGTCAGCCATTCATCTCTTAGTCTATTTTGCCCCGTATAGGCCCATGCCATATTTAACAAACACTTGCGTCCTATATCATGTCACTTACGCTCCCATTTGCTCACTCTCAAGTTTTTACGTTCCCATTTGCTCACTCTCATGTTCGACCATAAACTAACAACTTTGACTTGACCACGTAAAAAAATCTCAGCCAATCACAATGCCTACAACCAATGACGCTTGTCCTGACGTCATCAGCACTCGGTTTAAACATCTCGATTCCCGATCGTCGATGGTGTGCCAATCACAGTCTTATCCGACTAATCCGAGTTATAATCCTTTGAAAAAGCCAAAAAACTGATATAGGGCGCGGGGCTGGTGTGGTCTGTCACCGTCTGTGGCCTGTGGGTGTTGTTTACAAAGTGGTTGCTGACTTGCTGTTTATTAAAATGTGTCGTGTCTTGTGTGGCGTGTGCAATAATGATTCTTTCAGCATTTTCATCTGTATGTCTATTGAGTACCACTATTTTGAGGCCTAAACCAATGTGGTAGTTTCTTTGGGCTGCATTCATCATCGGGAAAAATTTGTTTCGTATCGACGTAGGTTACGCGATTACTCAATCAGTGGATGCCGATGCGATGTTCACTATTGACTATTGTTCAGATGTTGATTTGCAGCATTCGGTCACTGACGGTGATTGCTGTTGACCCAACCCAATCCCAATGACCTCTAGAGACTAGACACTAGAGTCCAGTCCGCTACAGTGTCAGCAGACAGCCGGTAGTGTCGAGCCTGATTTTCACTGGAATTTTACAATTTGTTTGTAGCTATGATTGATATTTAATAATGATGCCTAATGCTAAATTGCTAATGAGTAATGTGAATCCGCTGCAGTCAGGCAGACTCAGGCTCAGCCACTCAGTCTAGAAATCTCAATTCAGGAGGGCTTGGAAGGGTAATAAACTATCAAGTTCAAATACAGTTAATATACCATATTCTTTTGCAAGATTTATTGCAAATTGAGTTAAAATTTTTTTGTTATGGTAGCATAAACAATTCTATACCTACTTTATAAATGAATTTGAATTAAAATCTGTTAATAAACTAGCTCTACCTACTAGCTACTACTAGGCTACTAGCTAGCTTTCTTAACTAGTCCATTGAATGTCCAACAGTGAACAGTATGCAACTGTAGGCACTAGCTACCAGCCTACCAGGTAGTCATTATTATTCATTTTGATGCAAATTGATGGTAATTTCATATTTTTTATACAGATTTTCTAATTAATTTAGCATTTATTTTCTTCGTAGAACATAAAGTAAAGAAAAAAATTAATTATTATCCTTGGGGATGGATAAACTTTTGTTATGGTTATGGACAAAACTTTTCTATTTCTTTGATTTGAATTGAATTGAAAGTTGAGTCCTGCCATCTTGGCCATGGTCAGGAAGATGTGCCAGGTGCGCGACTGCGCGGGAATTTATTTTGTCATTTTAACAACCTGCGCGGTGCACCGTACTACGTTGGTAAAAAAATGCGCCGTGCGCCGTACTTTAGAAAGCTAAAATAGTTCTACTATTTTAGTCGACAATATATGCGAGTATATTGACTACGTGAGTCGAACTGACAATAATAAAATGTAAGACATGTCCGGGTTACTTCTGACTCTTCCGGTTCTCTGCCTTGTTGGATACGGAACGTACGGTAATCGTAAACTGGGGCTGTTATACATATGAAATGTAAACAGACGGTGTTCAGTGTTGCCATATGACTTTGGAGAAAATTTCTTCTAAAATAAAGATGGCCGGGATTGCGCGAACACGTGCGCGAAGATAATCAATTTTCATTACATTGCGCCAACTGTGCACAGTAATAGCTTAAAAAAAGTGAAAATGCGCAGGAAAATTCACCGAAAACATACATCATGCTGAGTGTGGCATCTTGTCAGATGCCAGATAATAATGTTATATTAATGGATTTAACAGGGTAAATGCGGTATATTCCGACATCGTGGGTAATTCCGACACCTCTCTAGTTTTTCCTTTGTATTAAGCTTTGTCTTAGTTCCACACATTCGTTGTTGGTTGAAATAGTGACGTCATCCCTTTGCGCACCAAACTATTGCCAAAACACTAGGTCTGGGCTTTCTGGCAGGAAAATGTTGAGATCCAAAGAAAGACGGTGCATGCCACCCAGTGAGATCATCGGAAAATGTGTCAAAATTGAATGACAGTTGACCTTGCTCTACCGAATAGTAATAAACTGTTTGTGTAGAAAGAATATTATGGTTTGAGACTTTTAAATAAGTCTGTGAATATATTAGGAATCCTTTAAGTATACTTGTATCTGCTGATTTCAAGTCGTAAATAAATTAATAGATGATAAAGTTAAGAAACGGATTTAGACACATAAAAACTAATTCCGACACAACTTGAAATGGACACACACAGCTCGTTCTGAGTTGTGTGCAAAAATTGAAATTTTCTTAATTGAAAGCTTAATAGCTGTTAATTAAAAGCCTAATTAAGTACCGTAAAATGGGGTTACTTTGACCGGCGGGGTAACTTTGACCACTTTTTATTATTTTTTTAACAACCCCCAAAACTCAAAAACAATTTGACAGAAAAATTTTGTCAATGGCCATCAAAGGCCTAATACGTAGGCTACGTAACACAATAGAAAGATTTGAAAAGTTTGCATATCTAATAGGTTTAAAAAATTAATAATGTGACCCACAAAAAAGAGCTATTATTTAAAGCCTGTTGGAGTACCCCCTCCAATTTTTTTATTTGTTGGTAAAATAACTCCAGGTTTTGATGCATTGTAGTAGAACTCTTCTAGTTACATATGCAAAAGACAAATTTTAGGAAAGTGTCATAGTTTGCAAATGGTCATAGGTACCTATATAACATATTTTATGTTTGATACACCTATTAATGTTTTTTTCTTTGTGTTTCAGACTCTACAGAGTCTTATATATGGTAATTTTAACTTAATTTCCAAACCGGTCAATGTTACCCCGTCACAGCTGCCATTAGGTGGTCACATTTCGCCCATTGAGGGGCTGCGCCCCCCATTTGCAAACTATGACACTTTCCTAAAATTTGTCTTTTGCATATGTAACTAGAAGAGTTTTACTACAATGCACCACAACCTGGAGTTATTTTACCAAAAAATAAAATTGATTTTACCACCCGGTCAAAGAAACCCCAAGAGCTGGGGTAACAAAGACCATCACTTTTTTTAAAATTAAATCAAAACTATGAGAGGCAGGAGCCAGCAATTTATGGTGAGTAAAGCTAGAGTATAGACCTGTAGTTTGCATGTTTCAATTTAAGTTTAACTTATCTAGTAAAAAAATGGCATCATTTTGAAAAAAGTGGTCAAAGTTACCCCATTTTACGGTAGTGTTCAATAGTCAATAGTGTTCTAATTCAAAGCCATGTCATATTCCAATACAGCTCACACAGCGATCAGAATTCAAACACAAGGATATCATAATTGTGTATTAGTAGAGTTTGAAGCACGACCGGAATTTGTCTCTCAACGTGCCCAATTTAGTTGCGCACAGCGTCGGAATATAGGGATTTGGTTGATTTGCATTCTAAAGGCTTTTAAATAAATATGGCAACATTTAGTGACGTTTCATCGTTGCTAGTGCATAGTGCGGTGTTTTGAGAGTCACGTAAAGCAAACAGAACTTGAGTAACGCATACGGTTATTTTTTTATAGTTTTTCATTTCTCGATGCATCCTTAATGTGTCGGAATATACCGCATTTACCCTTATGTGTGCACAAAATCTTTTTTTGTTCTAGTCTAACTTTAGTTTGTGTGATTAACTATTCAAAAATTTTCCTTAGATATGGCTTCTACTGAAAATTTACAATCATATGATGATGATGATGAATTTACCTCCACGGCTGCAAACTCCATTCTTAGCCATGAAGATGAAGATGAGGAAAATGATCATTATGAATTCACCAACACCATCAGTGATGTTGTTGCCAAGGTTATGAGCAAGAATGTGTAAGTTTGGATTATCAGTTTCATTCTAAAGTTGGTCAACATTCAATTGCAATTTTTGTGAATTTTTCCTCTTTATATGAATGATAGTGGACACTGGACTATTTGAAGCCATGACATTCATTTGTAAACAAAAAGCTAATTTTGATGAGTGTCCACAGTCCATACTTCACAAAATGAATGGATTTACTTCTGTTATCAATGAATCAATTCTGCTCAACTGAAATATGATGCTGTATATATATTATATATTCAGCACTATATGTTGAGGGTCTTTGTTTTTTAGTAATGCTTAGGCTCGTTGACTTTGAAACTAGAACATTAAGATTTCAGAATGACTTTCCTTGCAGTGTTCCCAACCGGCAGTCATTATTGCGACATAGTTTTCCTGCCTCGTCTCGACTCAGCATCTGCCCAGAGACTGGTCATCATGGTGTGATGCATATCAATCTTGGAAATCAAGATGACAAATCTACAAAACAAGTTAGTGCTTTTGTAATCATTTGCTTCCACTACAGGCCATCTTATTTTTAAACTGATTTTCATGAAATTCTCATCAATTATCAATTAAGAACAAGCCCGTATGCACAGTTTTTCTATTTAAAGAAGGTCTATTTGATGCTAGTCTCATGTTCACCTCACTTTGTATGTCAATTGGATGCAAGATAACTTTGATTTTCTTCCTACATTATTTACAAGCAGCCATTTCTATTCATTCATTTATTATCAGGAATTTTCCTTCAATTTGTTATATTGCATTAACATATGCAGTAGTTAACTGTGGAAGCAATGCTTCCAATTAATTGATGGTATCTTTGACTTGAAGGATTCCATTGCTAACTATAAATTCCCACTTTTTTGGATTCCTCCATGAAATTAATCTGAGAAAATTAGATTATTTGAAATAATCTTGAAATGACTTTAAAATTGTTGAAGTTATTCATTGCATTAGCATTTCTTCCTCTCATTCATGCAACAATTGTACCCATACTCATGTATGCATAATTTATTCCTGCTTTACTTATAATAATGGCCTTGGGGTATAATTGTTTTGTTGTTGCCATGGTGGGAATAAGCCCTGCATGTTATTAATGAACATGGTTCTTTATTGTCCAGACACATAGATTCATTGGTGAATTGGCATTTGAATGCTTTGAAATTTTTGTATTCTAATGGTGTGAGAATCCAAGACTTAACTTTGTCATAATAATAGATATTAGACAAACTGTTGAAATTAGACCATTGACATGGTGACTTGGACCATTTTGACATTGAAGAGAAGAAAACCATATGATCAAAAAGTTCTTACTGTAGAGAAATTGTTTTGATGGCTCATGAAGTACCTACCATGAAATAACCTACACTACAGTTGCAATAAAGAGATATAATTTGTATATATACCATGCTACTATTTGTAAAAGAGGAAAGGTAAAAAAATAAAGTGCTAAAAATGGTCCTAGTTGCCCTGTTTTATAGTTTATAACTTATTTAGAGACATATATATATATTAATATTTTCATACTAGAACTAAGCAACTACCTGTTGAAGTCAGATTCCATCAAATTAAGCTAGCATTTGGAAATGGAAATTCTGTTAGGGCATCTATTTCTCTCAGTGAAGCTAGTTTTTCACAAAAAAAAAAAATAAATTTTATACCGTACATTTGGATAAAAATCCGCCATTGCTATCTTTATGCTCCAGTGACTCTATACTTAATTTTCATTGGCTATTCTATCAAATCTGTTTGGCTGAACAGGTTCTTTTTTAGTCACCTTTGTATTTCAATTGCTGGGCCCTTCTTCCAACTCAAATCAACTATCACTGTTGACTGTGACTTGCATATTTTCAGAAAATCAAAATATTTTAAAACATTTAGTTTTAAGCTATTTCTGGTTTTAAAATTTGCCTTGCTTTATTTTCAGTGTGAAAAGCTTGTGTTGGGGATCAATAAGAAGCCACATTTTCGCCCCAATCATTTGGACAGCAAGACAAGTTTCATGGGCTCCTCCCAGAAAATGGTGTGTAAATAAATTTCTTTCAAATTTGGTTATGTTAAACTGCTTCATTGTAGGGCTTACTGTGTTTTTGAGAATGTTTATTGCAATATGGACAATTTCTGTATAGATGATAAAGTATACAGATACATAAAGTATACAGATACAGATAAAGTATACATCCATTTCTGTATAGTTGATGTGCTGGTATATAAAGGGAAATTCCTCATGGATTGTATCATGATAGACAATCTCACTGTTTGCTTGTTTGCCGCCCTCAGTGCTAAATGAGAACATTCTGAGTTGACCTTATTTTCTTTTATTTTAACAGAAAAAGGCTATTGAGATCTTAATTCCCATTTGTATCCTTATATCGAAGCTGTTTATACTTTTTCTTGAGCTGTTTTGAGGCCTTGGGATATATAGTAGCTCAACTAGACATGAAAAAATTATGAATTTTGGTGTGTACATGATGAAACTAGCGGCATTCCCACAGAAGAATTTGTAGGTCTTTGAGCAAAGCTGTATTGTTATCAAGCAAAGTGTTCTGTAGCTAAGAAAGCTAAAGGTATAGAGAGAAATGTTATTTTCATTTTTCTATAAATTGACAAACAATAATAAATTTGCATAGAAGGTAACATCTGATATAATTCTATAGGCATTTTTGTATTGGATGAGATACTTTTTTGTGAGTTATCCAAGCAGCTCTAGGGTGAATGTGGTTGCTGTTGGTGAAATGCCTGTGCCATAGCCAATTTTCCTGTGATATTTAGGATATGCTGCGTCAAGTGTAAAACTATTTTGGTTTTTCTGTCCTTGAATTTTTTTTAATTCTGAACTTATTTTATTGCTTTCTAATTTTCAGTGCCTATGTGATATGATATTCTCAGAGTTAATGAAGAAATGTTTGTGAGCGACAGCAGTGTAAATACAGCTCAATTTATTCCAAGATGTATCATTGTTTAAATTTTTTTCCAGTAGTCAATCAATAACGTTGGCACTGCTTAATAAGTTAATACTTGCTGGTTTATTAATTTTTACTACTTTTTGTTTATCAAGATTTCCATAATCAATCTATGCAATATTACTTTTTTCTCTTTCAGGTTCGGTCTGTATCCACCCCTGAAATTTCCTGCAAATATAGCTCAAATGCTCCCAAAAGCTTGAAATATAATTCAGGCAAGGCTCCTATCGTCTGTAAAATGGACTTTGAAGATTTTCCTGATGCTAAAAAGCCACCATCAGATGCAGATCTTCCCATGCTCGATTTTGATTCAGGCTTTTCACAGACGACGACTTCTTTTCTACAATGCCCGTCCACTTCTTCTACTGCTGTTGGCTTCAATTCTGTTTATTCTAACAAAGAAAACTATTGTCCTCAACACCTTCCTGAAGCTAGACTTCATGAAAATGAGTTAAAAAAACATGCAGACGCCCAGTCTGCCTTGAAGGGAAGCAGCATATACAACTGGAGCGTCCATAAACAGCAAGCCCCCCATTTACTGCACCAGCCATCTACTGCCAACGCTTTCAAGGAGCCAATGGCAGCTGCTCTGTATTCCCGGTAAGACTTGGGGGTATCCGCTCTTGGCAAGGGTGTTGAATATGGCGACTAAGTGTGAAAAATTAAATGTCCTATCTATATTCCGATATTATAGTGTTACAAGGAAATGGAACAATATACCTACCTGACCTAAAAGTCCATGTTGATGTGATCGCATTTACCATTGCATAAATACTAATTCATAATAATTGTTAACATGGCACTATTAATCTGACCGCATTTCGAAATATATTTGTTAGAAATTAAAAGTTTTATTTTATTTTCATTGTATTACATTCAATTATTTCAGCTTGTCCTCTCCTCGTGACGACGTCTCCGAAAATTCACTGAAGCCTGAGCCAGGTGGATTTGGATCTACATTATTCAAGCGGTCCTCTTCTTGTTCATATTTTGGTCAAAATTCAAGAAACATAATTAGTGGGACAGGGCATTTAACTAATAGTGTCAATTGTTCAATGGAATCACTAGCCGTAAGGAAACTTCCTACAGATACTTCATCATATCAACCTATAACTACTAATTCAATGTCTTATATTCCACGGAGCTCACATCAGGATCATAATCTGCCTGCTTCTGGACTGAAATCCAATGACCTCCATGACAAAATGGCTTACGATCGTCCGTTCATTCTAACTCCTCGTCTCTTTTCAAATTTTTCAAGTACAAATCCCAATAATGTCAGGCGTCTATCAGGTTCAGCTCATGACACCTCTGCCCCGCGCGTCACCTCTCCTCTTTATGTGACTGCAGACAATTCTCGAAGTAATGTGCTGGAAAAATATACACCACCACTTGACTATTCAAACGCCGGTACTGGCAATAGGAATTCTCTCATTCTAACAAAGCAAATCATCACTCCAGCGACATCCAGCAGAATACAGAGTGACATTCCGTTTTACATGGATTTTGCTCTCAAAGAATCTGATGAGCCCAATATCCACACCCCCACTGTAACCTACCAGCCTTCTAACCAGCTGGATTCTTGCGATTCAAGTGCAAACTTTTCAAGCTGCGCTAAAATGAACATTGTAACTACCGCCGCTAAGCCAGTTACCACAGGAACACCATTGTTTGGATTATCTCGAACAGGCACATCGCGAACTCATGTGACGACTGAAGCTAATTCTGTAGTCTCTGCTTCTTTGCCAAGTGTCCTGAATTTGCCTCAAAGCAACTGCCTTGCGCCGCGTGTTCCGTTGACTGCCATCGACGTTTCCAGTTCAACAGCTGTTGCAAGTTCAGCTGCTGTTGCAAGTTCAGCTGCTGTTGCAAGTTCAGCTACATTTGCAAGTTCAGCTACATTTTCAAGTTCAGCTACAATTGCAAGTTCAGCTACATTTGCAAGTTCAGCTACATTTGCAAGTTCAGCTACATTTGCAAGTTCAGCTACATTTGCAAGTTCAACAGGTGTTGCAAGTTCAACAGTTGTTGCAAGTCCAGCAGCTGTTGCAAGTTCAATAGCTGTTGCAAGTTCAACAGCTGTTGCAAGTTCAACAGCTGTTGCAAGTTCAACAGCTGTTGCAAGTTCAGCAGTTGTTGCAAGTTCAACAGCTTCTGAAGTTCCAACTCAAGCTGCTACTCTGGTCGCGGCAGCGACCGCCACTCCTGTAGTCACTCCTGCTGCCCTCTCATCCATGGATTCTCTTTGTATTAACGGCAAACTGTACATGAAACTGAGCCTCATTGGACGCGGCGGCTCCAGCGAAGTATACGAGGTGAATTTAGCTAGGTTCGGGAAATTGGCACGTGTGTAGTTTAATACTTACGCTGACTATTTTTGCTGAAACCTTCTATTATCGATGTGGTGTAACTGTATTATTGCACTTAACTGAACGTATTAACATCCATATGAATTACAGGTAGTAAGTCTGGAATCGCGGGCTGTGATGGCCGTGAAGATCGTTAAGCTGAGTGGCGTCGATGAACAAATGATCGTCGGCTACAAGAACGAGATCGCCATCTTACAGCGGCTGCAAGGCACGGACCACGTCATCACCCTGCATGACTTGTGAGTTACGGTGCAGTTATGACGAGCTGTGGTGTAGCAGTCGAGTTGTGTGATGTAACAACGTTATAGTGCTGTGTAGTAGCCGTGTAGTGTGGTGCATTAGCCGGGAGGTAGCTCAACTTTCGGTAGCCGCCTGTCAAGTAGCAGTAGCTACATACCAACTTACGGCAGAAATGCAGCGAGTAGTTATAGCCACTTGCAGAGTTGCAGGGATATCGCACTGATATTTAGTTACTCAAGACTTCGTTAAAGTAATTGCGCACGGAATGTACTGCGCCAAGGTTCACACTGGCAAATTGTTTGAGAGCTTCTAGCTGTTGTACGAATTGCAGCAGCTGCGTACTGCGTTGCAGCAGCTGCGTACTGCGTTGCAGCAGCTGCGTACTGCGTTGCAGCAGCTGCGTACTGCGTTGCAGCAGCTTCGTACTGCGTTGCAGCAGCGGCGTACTGCGTTGCAGCAGCGGCGTACTGCGTTGCAGCAGCTACGTACTGCGTTGCAGCTGCTACGTACTGCGTTGCAGCAGCGGCGTACTGCGTTGCAGTAACCCTGTCCTGTCTTACAGCGAAGAGACGCCCGGCGAGCTGCGGCTGGTGATGGAGCGCGGTGGCCGCGACCTGGCGTTCGTCCTGAAGTCGGCACGATCTCAGCCCAGCCGCTTCCTGTGCCGCTTCACCGTACAGCATCACTGGCGGGGTATGCTGCTGGCGGTGCAGGCCATACATGAGAAGGGTGAGTGCTGCTGGCTGCTGTTACCTCTACGTCCGAGTCGTAGATGTCTTGTAAAATGTGCATTAGCAGTTCTTTTACTTCTTTGATGTCACCAATTACTGAAGTGTGATTCGAGTTTTGACGTTTTCTGGTAATTACATTTATTTTCTGAAGGCATCATTCACTCGGATCTGAAGCCGGCCAACTTCATCTTGGTCGAGGATGGACTGAAGCTCATCGATTTCGGCATCGCGTCGTCCATTCAGAACGACATGACGAGCGTGCTGAAGGACAGCCAGGCAGGGACCTTCAATTATATGAGCCCTGAGTCACTAAACGACGTTCATGCAGGACCCATTATCAATGGGTTGGCTGGAGACAAGCCTGTTATCAAGATAGGCACCAAGTCAGACGTGTGGTCACTGGGCTGCATTCTCTATAACCTGGTCTACGGCAAGACGCCTTTTCAACACATCACAAACACTTGGCAGAAGCTCCAAGCTATCAGCAATCCAGATACCATCATTCAATTCCCACCCTGCGATGACAAAAATTTATTAGATGTGATGCGAAGTTGCCTTCAATATCAGCCTTACAAGCGGCCAACCATACAGCAGTTACTTGAGCATCCTTACCTCACTGGTGTGACTACATCTAAACCTCACACTTGAAAAACTGTATCCAATATAATGAGCTTTTTATAAGCATATTTGGTTGACGTTCTTATTTCCAGGTTTACCGGAATTATGTTAGTTTCTAACTATATCACAAAAAAAGGTAATTGCTAATATCTCATTAAAAAAACAAAGCAAACGTCTATGAACTATAGATTAGTTAAAATATAAATCCTAAAATTTTGGGTGAACCAGCTTTATCAGTTGATGATCACTTGGTAGAGCTCCTTGTATCTATGATTTCTCATTCTCTATTGGCACAGCGGAGAAATTGCCGCAAATATTCTCTTCGAAGGTTCCCATCACTGTCAGTCAGTAGTTTGGAGGATTTACATTGTCTCATATTGTCTATTATATAATTTAATACTCATTTTACTGCACATATCATCATCCCATGTTGCTGGGGCATATGGATAATCAGTCATTATTGTTAACTAAATAAAAATATTCAGTTACTTGTTCAACTTAATGTACATATATCTATATATATGTTGTACCCTTATCACTCTTGTACCCTTACTTTTGATACTGAGATCGACGTACCAATAATCTTTGTGAATGTTTAACCCTTCCATGATATCGTCTCATCAATTATATTAATTTCATTTACATTAGTCGGGCGGTTTACCATTTCGCAACAATACGTCTCTGTTCCACTTGATCAACAAGCTTTTTATCTGGTTACATCTCTGTGAATGTTTATAATCTTGAAGTGCAGTTCAATCTCAGATATTCTAACTCTTAAACGGATTCTTACTTTGATTTTCATGTAATTTTTTTGAAAGAAGCAAATAATGTTTTGAGGTCCATTCTATGATCCGAGTTGACCGATGATAAACAATCGCTTTGGCGTTGTCAAGACCAATTGCCAGTGACAAGCGCTGCCACGCTTCGAAGTTTCCTTTGTCCTCGTGTTCAGGAAATGAATAATTGGCTTATAGACCGTGTCAAATACGATGTTTCACTGGGTTCTCTGATTTGCTGAGTCATGTTCTTCAAGATTCTGTATGCTGAACGCAAGAGAGCAGCACTAATGTCGAACTATCAGCATGGCGCTCTAACCAGTTTCTTCGACTGGTAGCGGTATAAATACTATCCTAAAAAGCTCCAATTCTTCAACTTCCTGCCATTCTTGTAAACAACTGCAAACTCTTGAATTCCAGTGGCCTCCGTGGCTAATCGGTCTTTTTGATATAAATGTATTTTGTGTAACTCTCAGTATCACATTCAACAGATGTGCAATGGGTTCTGCCCAGTTGGGTGTAGATTTAATCTAATAAAAACTGTTACCTAATTTCATGGATTATTTATTTATTGAATTACTTCCTCTTGTTGAGTGACTTGGAGGAAAGTTCTACTTTCACTTCGCGTTTAAGTTCGTAACGATTGAAAGAACGGCTATCAGATTACGTAACGAAGTCAACTGAGGAACACGAAAACTGGAAAATGCTCTTCACAAGCGTTTAAATTGAATCGCTTAGACACGAATTTTAATCTAATTTCAATCTAGGCATGTTTTGATCTAACTGCTCTGTCAGTGCCTCTTGTAGAAAATAAAAACAATTTTGGAGTTACAATTTTCTCTTCCTCTTGAACACAGATCCTTTTCAAATTAATGTTTGTGTAAATTTTTCGTTTAAGCCATGAATTTTGATATCTATATTCGACAAGGTGGATAAGAAAAACATGTCTGAAACCAGGCAGTGTGACCTAGTAAGGTTCCGCTCAGTACGAGTTCTTATCAGAAAACAGATCTATTATAAGTTGATAGGAAATTCTCACCTAAATCAGAAACACATACATTCACACCCCCTCGGCTAATGGCAAGTAGAACAAAAAATGTACTAGTTATCCGTACGACAAGGAGCTAATTCAAACTTAATAGGATTCTTCCCCGTGGCCAAATGGGTGCATCCTGCCGAAGAATCTTGAGCTGATTTTCTTGAACTCCGGAGAGTCGCGGCGCGCCTTCACCCCTGGCAGGTCTAGCAGGCGAGTCTGAAGGGCCTTCAGGGTGGGGAACGCGGCCAGCGCGCTGGGGGAGAAGCTCTCGTAGCGGTCCAGCAGCTCCAGGATTAGGAAATCCGCGTATGAAACCTACATGGACGGAGTGGGCCAATTTGAGGAGGCTAAAATCATTTTTAACATTAATGAGCGGGTAAAATATGGTTAAATAAAGTAAATTCTTTGCTTAAATATCGCTTGAAAATACCCCGCTATTAGCGTACACCGCGCAATAAACTAAGCCAGAGATGCAGAAACGATCTCAGGGGTAAAATAAGCTATATTCAATGATGGATCAAACATGTACATGTGTTCAAGTAATCCACCTAAATGTTCGGTTCTCGGAACGTTTTCAAAAATATCTTCAATATTTACATTGAAATTCCTTTGTGCACTGCAATTATTAACCGAGAATGCTTGTCTGAACGCGTATTATACGAGCACTCGATATCCATATTAATGGGATCGACCCTGCAGAAATGAAACCTCGCTCACAAATTTCTCCGATCCATGTGCCCGACTGCTTAATAATGGTTAATTTAGAAAGTTACATTTATCATAAATGCCAACGCAACGGAGGGAAAGATGTTTATTTAAAAGGGTAATAAACCAAATTCTCGCTCACAAAAAACTATGTCCGTCTCACTCACCTTCTCTCCTGATATGAACTTGTTGTCTTTCAAGAGGATGACTAACTTTTGAAGCTGGTTACTTATGTCGGCCTCAAAAGCTGGTTTGGCGTTATCCTGAAACAAAATATGGTACATTGATGAGCCAATGAAACACGTATTAGCTATACAGAAAAATGATCACAAACTACAAACTATTGGCAGTACCCGAGACTAATGTCTACTAAGAAGTGATATCACTGAATGTGTCATTCGTTTAGCAACATAAAACTGTGAATTATATCATTCTATTATAGTAAATATATTAACAAATCACTGATTGTCGTGCAGCTTACATAGTCAGGACTCGTAACTAGCCTGACGAAGCCGAGGTTCTGGTCGCGGCAGAGGCTCTCAGCGACGTCGATGCGCATCTTCTCCTGCTCCGTGGCGCCCGCCAGTCCCGTCTTGCGGCCAAGATGGCGGATGATGGCGCTGCTCTCCGTCAGCTTCACGTCGCCGTCCATGTAGTACGGCAACTGAACAAACAATCTCACTGTAAGTCTTTAATTGGTGTGCATAATTCGATTACTAATTATCTCCATTCATCAAGCTTATACCATAGTGTAGTACAATGCAGCGCAGTACTACACTGCACTCTAAAGTACTGTATAGTAACATCGTAAAGTATTTAATATACTATACTCAGTTAGTTTAAAAGAGAATTACTAGAAAAACTATTCTTCTGATTGATTATATTTTAGTATGATAGGTGGATGTATATTCCAAGAAGTAAGAAAGATTCGGACGTATCACTTTTTGAGAAATCTTGCTGTTCGCATATCCAAGAAAGTGTCAAGATTCAAGATCATGTGCGCTCCTCTGAAAAGAAGTTTAGTAAGAACTCACGTTAGGAAGATCGAGGTCGATGGTTGGTTTAACGTTCAGCCACTGCGACCGGTCGTAGGTGGGGGCTGGGCCCATATCGTACGTCTTGTTCTCGTACTCCGTTCCGGTGTGAGCGAGCAACGTGCGGATGGGTTCTGCTAGCTGGAGGATCCGGAGAGTTTTTTAAACAAAGCAGAAGAGAATACTTTGCGAAATAAAAATAATGATGAATTATCTACAGAATTTATCTAAGTAAACATCCGTGATATTCCAGCTGTCAGAATTTTACTGCAGAACATGGTCTAAACCAGTGATTCCCAAAGTGGGCGATATCGCCCCCCTAGGGGCGGTGGAAAGATTTTGGAGGAAAGTAAGGAAGAAGAGGGCGTTTGGGGGGCGATAGGGGGCGGTAGTCCGAAGTCGAAGTCAGAAGTTCAAACGTTTGTTTGACGATTTGTACACAACACGTGCAGCACATGACTCCCAGCGATGGTTTTTTCACCCAAACCTGTTTTTTTAACCTCTCCTGGGTTTACCTCGGACAAATTAACGGCCGGACTCGCGGCCGGTCTGACAGCCAATTTCCAATTCAATGTTCAAGTAATATCTCTCAAACTAATGAACTTAATTCGATGAAATTTGGTACACGTATTCATTAGGACCTAACGGTAATGTTAAGCTCGTGAATTTTTTTTTTAATTTTGCCTTCACTTGTTTTTTCCATAGTTATATGGCAATATGGGCCGGAATTCACTGTACCGGATAATCAAGAAATTTTTTCCAAACTATTGAGCAGATTCTAACGAAATTTTGAATTTTCAGTCCTAACTACCGAACGTTAATGTTTAACTCATGAAAATTTATTCGATTCTGCCTTTGTTCGCGAGTTTTTTTTTCATTTCACCTTCATTCGTGATTTAAACAGCAATACGTGCTTAAATTCGCAGTAATCAAGAAATTCCTTCCAAAACTACTGAATGGATTTGAACGAAACTTAGTATTTAAATACCTAATCTCAGCAACGGCGATGTTTAGCTCGCCACAATTTTTTTGTTTTGCCTTCGTTTGCGAGTTATACGGCTATACGTATACGGATATACGTAAACCGCTCTTGGTTAAACCGGCCGGTAGAAAAGCCGGACGTTCCTCCTATAACTGTATAAAGCCCGGTCCACACGCTCAGTTTTCACAACGATTTGTCTGCGCAGTTTTAAGTCGGAATGAAATCGTTGCAATTTTTAGAGCGTCCACACGGTACCGACTTATCTGAGTAGTTTGCTCAGTTTTGCGCGATTTCGCCATGGAGACGTCTCGGACAAATTTTACGGCCGGTCTCCCCAAATTCGGCGAGCATGGAATTTCTCCCGAAGTAATGAACGTAGCTCGATAAAACTTGATACACGTATTCATTAGGACCTAACGGTGATGTTTAGCTCGTGAACATTTTTGGAATTTCACCTTCATTCCTGAGTTATATGACGATACGTGCTGAAATTTGCAGTGAGTATGGCATTTCTTCTTAACTACTGTACAGATTTGAACGAAACGTTGAATATAGAAACCTAGCCTCCCACAACGTTTTATCTGCAACGATTAGAACTGCGCAGACAAATCGTTGTGTAAAACTGAGCGTGTGGACCGGGCTTTATTACACGCCAACGAAAGCAAAATAGAAAAATTGTCGCGAGCTAAACATCACCGTTGAGAGTTAGGTATTTATATACAAAGTTTCGTTGAAATCTGTTCAGTAGTTTCGAATAAATTTCTTGATCTCCGCGAATTTATGCGACAAATTATCCGGCGATACGGGCCGAATATAAGGAAGTGTGAAATCAAGAATGACTGTGAAATGAAAAAAAAAAATCGCAAACGAAGGTAAAATCAAAAATTTTTAAAAGCCAAAAAAAAAATCAACGCTTGGTAGTTAGGAATGTATATTCAAAATTTCGTTCAAATCTGCTCTGTAGTTTGGAAGAAATTCTTTGATCACTGCGAATTTCGGCCTTTATCGCAATATAACTCACGAATGAAGGTGAAATTTAAAATTTTTTACGAGCTAAAAATCAACGTTAGGTTCTGATGAATATATGTTCCAAGTTTCCTTGAGCTGCGTTCTTTAGTTTGGGAGATATTACTTGATAATTGAATTTGGAGATTGGTAGCGCGACTGCAGCCACGAGTATACGGCCTTGAATTTGCTCGAGACGTCCTAGGTTTCTAGTGCTGAAACAGTTAAAACAGCTGAAAAACATATTGGTTCACTAAATGGGGGTCTATTTGTAAAATACACATTTGTGTTTAACATTTATCTATTAAAATTGCAGCGTACTAAATTTCAAGAAAGAGGAGTATGTTTTTATGTGTCTGTGGGGGGCGCTGGAAGCTCATGCACTACATATATATAGGGAGCCAAAGGGGGCGCCAGCCTGAAAAAGTTTGGGAACCACTGGTCTACACTCTACCCTCTACCGAGTCACTTATTTGAACAATTTTGGCATGAATCAAGTTGTGTCCATGTAAAATTCATCTAGTATTACATAAAATGTTGATAAATAAAATATTGATTTGGTAAGGAATTTGTTAAATATAGTAAATACACGAGTAAATTAAATTTAACAAATTACCTGACATAATACCCAAGTTTCCGCACCACGACTCATTATATTATTCAGTAAACTTTATCGATAAACATATATATCCTCAAACATATCCTCAAACATATCCCATTCAGATTTATTTAAAACTACAATTCCGAGTTACTTATCTACTTGATAAAGGCTCTAGTATTAAAGAGAGAAGAGTTAACCCTTAATTCTGGTGCTGATAAGGGCGATAAAGATATAGATAGGGTCGAGTGTCGCCTGCACTTTACTGCAACGATTGCCGTTACCGCGTAATTGAATGTGTTCTTATGTACTTTATATCAAGGTCTTACGACCTAAATACTCTTAGTTTAAATATTTTATTTAGAATCATAGGTGAAAACTAGGCCTGCAATTGAAGAAAGTTAATGTGTTTCAGCAAACGTAATAATAGTTCATAACTACTAAGTAAGTGGTTCACAGCGGCAGTTATTATCAATACATGTCAGTGGTTTATTTAAAATAATAACACATATAATCGATTTCTTGTGGTACAAACTAATAGCAAAGATACCACGTGCTGGCAGACTGATGATTACTTGCGTACCGGCACTGATAACCTATCACAACTCAAGACTAGAACGCTAGAATGCCTATGAGCCACACAAGGTATAATAACTATACTTAAACCGGTTATTGACCAGGGGACTTTCAATTCAAACATGCTGCCTTCAAATTCACTCACAGTTTCTTCATAGACTATACGCGATGACTATATTACATGTTACGAAAAGAAAAACAAAATTGATGCAGTAAGAAATCAGGCTACCTTAAACTAAGCAGGGAAGCCTCAAATCTCACAACGTAGAAATGTGCACATCACTCACCCCGCGGACGCTCCAATAACCCAGAACAGGCATGGTGATGAATGAGCTTCTTTATCGTTGAAAATAACAGAGATGGAACAGCGAAGTACAGAGCACCACCTTCCTGACAGAGAGCAACCACCAGACTGCCAGCAGGTTGCCACGGCCGGCCGGTGCCATCGTTGTCTCGCGTTGCAGGTAAGCCCTTCGACGAGTTGAGGATGTTGTACCTTAATATATCCAAGGCATATTTAATCTAAACATCGTTCATCACATTAAAAGTGTACTCTAAATGAACACTATAAATGTACTGTTTATGTACTGTAAGTGTACTGTAAATTTACTGTAAGTGTAATCTAAAAATGTACTCTAACTTGGTTGCGCTGGGACAAGAGGCTGGTAAGACGCGAGGATTGATAAATATTATTAAAGGGTATTTAACGTAAAGGGAAGCACTTCGAAGCGGCTGTATGTAATTTAGATTTTAGGGGACCGTCTGGGCCCCACAAAACTTTTTTATTCACGGACGGATCACGATGAAACTTGGTACACATATGTAAAACGGAAATCTAAGATTTTTATTTCGTGTAAATTTTTCGGAAAAAATGAAAGAAAACGAAAAATTCTTAGAGAAAACTCCTAGGATTTTCAAGCTACAACATCGAGACACATAGCATTCGATGCGTAAAGACCATATCTATCGATTGGTATTTGTTGTTTTTTTTTCAAAATGATAATTTTTGTGGTTGGGGGAACATTTTTTCGTAAATTTTTCGATTTCCACCCCACCACCCCCCATTTTTCAGAATATAATCTAATTAAACTATAACGAAATTACAAAAAATGAAAGATCATTCTCTGGATCTTTTCTTTACGAATCGAATGGTATATCTTTCAATGATGTAGCTTGGAAACTGTAGGAGGAGATAGATTTTTAAGATGTCGCGGTTTGGAAATTTTAATTATTCAGGGGAACCAAATAGGTAAAATTTATTAAAAAAGAAGATTGTGCCAGAAAAAATGAAAGATATTTTAGCCCAAGCTTTCTCCATTGCCAATTAGTTGCACTTGGGGTACCAGCACGCGTCTTTAGACTTATTCTTGTCCAGTTTAACGTGAATAATAAGCTATAAATTTTATTTTTTGTGATATTTAAATATATAAAAAATGTACATTTTATATAAGTTCAAAAGTGCATTACGCAAAAATTATTGCATGTACATCCGTGATATTTACTTTCATGAACGCGTCTTGTTTGTGGCTTTCAAACGAGTGCAAACACTTTGCAATTAACGAGACTAATGAGCTATAAATACAGATTTAATTTGATGAAATCTCAGTACATATTGACAAAAAATGTTCATTTTATATATTTTTTAAATTGCTTTACGCAAAAACTAGAGCACGCACAGACATGCTGCTTGCTGCGTTAGACGCGCCTTCTCAGCCGCAACAAAATGAGTATAAAGCAGTGGTTCCCAAACTCTTTCAGGCTGACGCCCCTTTTGGCTCCCTAGTGAATTTCTAGCGCCCCCCACAGACATATAAAAATTTACGCCTCTTTCTTGATATTTAGTACGCTGTAATTTTAAAAGAAAAACGTTAAACACAAATGTGTATTTCACAAATAGAACCCCATTTAGTAAACCAATATGTTTTTCAGCTGTTTTAACTGTTTCAGCACTAGAAGCCTAAGACGTCTCGGTCAAATTTACGGCCGGACTCGTGGCCGGTCTCACGGCCAATCTCCAAATTCAATTATCAAGGAATATCTCCCAAACTAATGAACGCCGCTCAATGAAACTGGGAACATGTATTCATCAGAACCTAATGGTGATGTTCAGCTCGTGAAAATTTTTTAAATTTCACCTTAATTCGTGAGGTATATTGCGATACAGGCCGAATTCCACAGTGATCAAAGAATTTCTTCCTAACTACTGAACAGATTTGAACGAAATTTGCAATATACATTCCTAACTACCTAACGCTGATTTTATTTTTGCGTTTACATTTTAATAAATTTTTCCGTTTCGCCTTCGTTTGCGAGTTTTTTTTTCATTTCACAGTCATTCATTATTTCACACTTCCTTATATTCGTCCCGTATCGCCGGGTAATTTGTCGCTTAAATTCGCAGTGATCAATAAATTTCTTCTAAACTACTGAACAGATTTCAACGAAACTTTGTATATAAATACCTAACCTCCCTACGATGATGTTCAGCTCATGACAATTTTTATATTTTGCTTTCGTTATCGAGTTATACAGTTATAGGGGAAACGACCGGCTTTTGTACCGGCCGGTTTAACCAAAAGCCGTTTACGTATAGCCGTATAACTCGCAAACGAAGGAAAATTTAAAAAATTGTAACGAGCTTAACATCACCGTTGCTGAGCTTAGGTATTCAAATACTAAGTTTCGTTCAAATCTGTTCAGTAGTTTGGAAGAAATTTCTTGATTACTGCGAATTTAAGCACATATTTCTGTTTGAATCACGAATGACGGTGAAATGAAAAAAAAACTCTCGAACGAATGCAAAATCGAAAAAATTTTCACAAGCTAAACATTACTGTTCGGTAGTTAGGACTGTAAAATCAAAATTTCGTTAGAATCTGTTCAGTAGTTTAAAACAAATTCCTTGATCACTGTGAATTTCGGCCCGTATTGCCATATAACTCACAAATGAAGGCAAAATTCAAAGAAATTTCACGAGCTAAACATTAACGTTAGGTCCTAATGAATACGTGTACCAAGTGTCGTCGAGTTAAGCCAATTTGTTTGAGAGTTATTCCTTGATCGTCAAATTTGGAATTTGGCCGTGAGACCGGCCGCGAGTCCGGCCGTTAATTTGTCCGAGACGTAAACCCAGGAGAGGTTACAAAGCAGATCTGGGTGAAAAAACCATCGCTGGGAGTCATAATGTGCTTGCACGTGTTGTGTACAAATCGTCAAACAAACTTTTGAACTTCTGACTTCGACTTCGGACTATATATCGTCCCCCCCTATCGCCCTCTTCTTCTTTATCGCCCCCCAAAATCTTTCCACCGCCCCTAGGGGGAGATATCGCCCACTTTGGGAACCACTGGCCTAAAACAATGAAAAGCCCAAATTTTCAATTTCTGGCCCAGACGCTCCCCTTACGAAATTATGCTCTTGCAACGAAATGATGTCAAGCTCGTAATTTATTTAGAATGAATGATTTAAATTCGCGTAATGACCTGAGTCGCCATGACACAAATGCCGCCAATATTCAATATAAACGAATCTATACTTAAATCATTAATCAATGATCTGTTTAAATCGCAAGTTCTTCAAGAATATAAAACAAAAAAAGGCAGTTAAATTAGCAATATCTTAATTAAAAATATTTGGGAGACTAGCAGTTTGAAACTATTATAAAAAGTTATTCAAATACAAGTATCATGAAAAATGTGAACACAGTTTGATACACGAAAAGATATACACGAAATATATTAAAATATTAAGTTACTAGCAACAGTTTTCACTATTGATTGTACTTATATTCTAGACTAACGCCAGCCAAGCGGCGTTGACTGACGTTGGTCAAGGCCAGTCGTTTGTCATCAATCCCAGCCAAATAATTGTCACTAGCTTGGCTGTTGACAAACAACAGCAGCAACAGCAACAGTAGTAAAATAGCAACTGTTCCAACAGCAAATTTAGCATTAGTAGCAGACTTCTATAATAATTTAATTATGACTTGAATTAGAAATTAATGTTCAGTTCCAACAATGTGTAGATCGCTTCGGCTAGAGTACTTCCCTC